GGGTTCGGAGTTCTTGGAAGGTGTCTCGACGGGTTTTTCTTCTGATTTCTCAGTCTCCTTAGGCTTCACTTCTGGATTTTCCTGAGGATTTTCCTTGGGCTTTTCCACAGTCTTCGCAGGTTCTTTAGGCTTTTCCTGAGGCTTTTGCTGAGGATTTTCCTTGGGCTTTTCCTGAGGCTTTTCCTGAGGCTCTTCCTGAGGCTTTTCCTGATGCTTTTCCTTAGGCTTCTTCTCCTCAGGCTTCTGCTCAGGCTTCTCCTGAGCTTTTTCCGGAGTTTTTTCCTTAGGCTTTTCCTCAGCATTCGCAGGGTCTTTGGGCTTTTCCTCTGACTTCTCCCTAGGCTTCTTCTCCTCAGGCTTCTGCTCAGGCTTCTCTTTAGGCTTTTCCTCAGACTTCTCCTTAGGCTTCTCCTCAGGCTTCTCCTTAGGCTTTTCCTCAACCTTCGCAGGGTCTTTGGGCTTTTCCTCTGACTTCTCCTTGGGCTTCTTCTCCTCAGGCTTCTCCTCAGACTTCTCCTTAGGCTTCTCCTCAGGCTTCTCCTTAGGCTTTTCCTCAACCTTCGCAGGTTCTTTGGGCTTTTCCTTTGACTTCTCCTTGGGCTTCTTCTCCTCAGGCTTCTCCTTAGGCTTCTCCTTAGGCTTCTTCTCCTCAGGCTTCTCCTCAGGCTTCTCCTTAGGAGGTTCCGTTTCATTTTTCAAAGGCTGTTTGGCCGGTATAAACGCATCATAGTCTAAAGTTCCGAGGTTTGGATTAAAAACAGTATCTGCGGCATGTCGCCGTTTTCTATCCGTTCTTATGGCACCTCTCGGATCCAAGGCTGCATTGAGCGCTCTAGCCAATTCGGATGGGTCTTTGTAGTTTCCACGAGGTAGTTTTCCGTGAAATTCTAAGCCAGCAAAAACTCCGTGATGCACGACCTTGATCGTCTCGTCCTCAGGCATTGTGTCCCAGGAGAAACAGGTTTGAATCTCCGCCAGCCCGACTTCCCATCGATTTAAACGACCATCCAGATCATACAAACGCAAATGGTTCGGCATACGGTTCACAAATACAGAAGACGTGTTTTCCGGGGAATCCGTCGCATTACTGGCCAAAACAATATAAAAAGAATCGTCTTGCATACTTAAACAGCTTGTACTAAAGCGGGCGCGCTAGGTTTTCTAAATGGGTAAATCGGTGACGGCGCCACTAACTAGGGAAGTGCAAATAAAAAATCCGGAAAATCGCTTAGCAAAAATATGGGTCTGATAGAGTCGGCGACAGGGATTCCGAAACTGCAAACAGAATTTGCAAAACGCTTAATACAAAAAAGTTATGAGCATTTTAAGTTTTCAGCCTTTTATTCCGCCCTCCCTTATGAGCCCCTCCCAAAGACGGGTGTCCACATGTCGAGTGGTGTAGTGGCTAACTAGCCTGCCCCTGGGGCGGAGGGCCTTTGGTTCGGCTCCCCGGTGATGTAAAATTTTTTGCTTTTTTGTCAAAGTCAAGAACTTTGGACTTTTTCAAAGTTTCGAAGTCCGAAATTTAAATTTTTGAACATTTTCTTTATTATTGACTGCGTGTAGGCTTACCTTACGAAAAAACAGAGGTGAATTTTTTTTAGTGCCCTACCCGTACTCCAGTACGGAAGTACGGGTAGGGCAGTACTTGCACTCCCGCCACCACTCCGTAATCGGTTTCATGGATTTAAAAATTAAGTGAACGGGCTTTTCGACTTTGAACCTTCGAAAAAGTCTAAAGTTCATACTTTGACCAAAAAGCAAAAAATTTTGCATGACCGGGGAGTCGAACCGGAGACCCTCCGCCCCAGGGGCAGGCTAGTTAGCCACTACACCACTCGACATGCGGACACCCGTCTTTGGGAGGGGCTCATAAGGGAGGGTGGAACAAGTGCTGAAAACTTAAAATGCTCATAACTTTTTTGTATTAAGCGTTTTGCAAATTCTGATTGCAGTTTCGGAATCCCCGTCGTCGACTCTATCAGACCCATATTTTTGCTAAGCGATTTTCCGGATTTTTTATTTGCACTTCCCTAGTAAGCATAAGGCACCGCCCACGATCATCAGTGTACGCTTGCTAAGTGCATCGCCTCGATAAACATCATGCGCCATGCTAAAGATGGAAAGCATCATTAAAACCGTAAGAATCGCGAGGGTCGTAAAAACTCGAATCTCTCGTAGTCTGTAGGGACCCGAACATCTAAATGACTGGGTGCTGCCTGTATAACTTTCGTCTGAATTCGATGTCATTTTTAGACAAATGAAACAAAAAACGTTTATTCAGGAAGGCGGAGTTCTTAAGTCGATTACGTCCTCGGCGCTAACCCACGAGTTGAATTCGTCACCATAATCCAGCCACTTTACAAAGTACTCAATCTTCCCTTTTCGTCGGCGCTCCTTGAGTATGCGCTCCACTTTGTAGACTCCGTCGGGATTCTCAGCACGCTGAAGCTCCTGTTCGTTACCTACCCTTTTGTTGATGTTGCACTTCTCAGAGTTTATTTAGACCAACATTACACCGAAATACAGAGGAGAATATTCTTCGTGCGCGAGCCCGATATTTTTTGGGGACGAGGACCGGCGGCTTGTGTTCGTGACGTCTTTCTAAGTGAATCCTGACTGTTCGTCCGAATCGCTGAAAACTTTTCATAGTTTTGATTTGCAACTTCTCGTTTTTTTCGAACAAAGCCTTCGTGTTTTCGAACCGGTTCACCAACAGGGATATGACAGCCATATGGTACGATGATTTAAAGGCATAGGGAAGGTGAGGGGAAGGGGCGCTTTTGCTCACGCCTTTAGTTTTCGTTTCTGAACAGCCCACGTTTTATTTCAAATAATTTTGAACAAAAATCGAGGTACGTTTCCTTGTTTTTAATACTGCCGCTTTGTAGATTTTTGATTCTTTAAGCTCAATGGCTCCCGTGCGCGCAATGTCTGCTTCTAAAGTAGACGATTGGAATCTGATAGTAGTCTGAAAAAAAATTTCGAATCTGAAAAAGTCCATATCTGACAAATTTTCATAGTTTTGCGAAAGTGCGTGAGAGAGAGAGGGAGAGAGAAAGGGTGAGAGAGAAAGAAAGAGAGAGAGAGAGAGAGCGAGAGCGGAAGAGAGAGATAGAGCGAGAGAGTCAGAGTGAGAGAAGGAGAACGAGAACGAGAAAGAGAAAGCCTGGTCCTTCCTTGTGACCGAAATTGCTTGATGCGGATGTAAATCGTCACCTCTGAGTGCATATTTCCCGCCTAATTCGCGCCTTAACATTTCACTTCCCACACCCTGCGCCATTTTTATGAAAGATGGGATAAATTGCTATATTATGTGTGTTTTCACTTGTCAGTTTACTCCATACCTAAAACGCCGCTAAACGATTTGACCGGTGCCCTAGTGGGGTTTGAAGGGTGGCGTCCTTCTGGGCGACGCGTCCCAGAGCTCGGATTTGGCGCCAATATATTAACGCGCGCCCCGAGACCTCGTTTTCGTATCCAGCGACCATTTCTGATGTCCTGTTTTCCATCCCATTCATTTATTCCCTCTCCACCATTTCCTGGCTCTGAAAATTTTATTTAAATTCTTCTTTTTTATTAGTTCGCCTTCTTCTTCCTTAATTTTTTTCTTCTAATACTTTGTCGAAATGTATTAAACATGTTTAGTATGTAAAACATATCGTCTCATATGTTTACGGCACTTAAAATTGACTTAAAACCAACACCGCAGATTTTTGTTCAGGTCTCTCTCGCTCGCTCTCTCTCTCTCTCTCTCTCTTTCTCTCTCTTTTTCTCTCGATCTCTCTCTGTCTCTCTCTCTGTCTCTCTCTAGCTCACCTCTTCCATTTTAATAGTCCTTCTGAAACAACAAATTTCTAAAATTTCAGGGCCCACAAACCCTCATCTTGGAGGATTATTCCAAACCATGGCGTCTACATAATGTGACGTCTTTCAACATCAAGGATTTTCCTGTTGTTTTTTAAATTTAACAAGTGAGTGGACCCTTGCTATTCTGATATTTTGTACCAGGTCAGCAGTAGATAACGCGGCGATAGGGTTTCATTTAATAAAAGAGACGAAAAATTATAGCTTAATTTTCAGATCCATAAGAGGAAGATGTACGATGGAACTGCAAAACACAAAAATGGAACGGACCAAAGCTTCAACAGAAAAAATCGACAGATCCGACGGTAGGTTCTGCCCAAATTATGGAACGGGTAATTCACAGGCAATCATTCAAATATTGAATAACCAATTCCTATTTCCAGTACGCTAACATCTTCCATGATGTCACGTCCGCAAAAACGAGCACACGATTCCGATGATGATGACAGCGATGAGCAGGAGCGTGAGACCCGCCGAATTCTAAAACAACACAACTCCATACGGTAAAAATATCTCTGTCTAAATGTACTGTCAGAATTTAGAAAATCGACAAGGACGAGATGAAGGAGAAATTTGTGAACAAACTCAAGGCAGCACGGAAGGAGAAAGCGGATGAGGGATGCGTGTATGGGGCGACACACACCAACTAGGAGTGTAGGTGTGGGGATTCCTTTGAGGAGGCCCTCGAATACCTCTTGCATGCGGGCGTGTGCACCCGATGCTTGCTTAAAGCAAAACACGATCCGTCCCAGTGTCGCATTGCCCCCCATCGCGAGACTTGCGGCAGGCGCGATTGTTTCCTATTACGCGTCCACAATAAGCAGCTCCATGACCTCCATCAGGTCAGGAACCCTTCGCTCATGGCCCCAGTGACCCGACTGTGGCCAAGCGCAGGGCTGGCCGAGGAGGTGGTCACTCACGACTAGCCCATCTAGCTCCCAGTTATCAGCCCCTTGTTCCAACTCCCTATCGCTTCTTCCAAATCCTTATTAAGCCGAACCCATAGATTTCTCTGTTCAATTTCAATTCAAATCAACTACCTCATACGTATTTTAACTTATCTGTAGTGTAAGAATAAACATCCTAAATCTCAACAAAATTTATTGTCAACACAGATACCTGTAGGCAAGTTATGGGCGGATCAGACGACGTCCAAGCACAAATCCAAACAGCATCTCGATCAGGACCAGCGCGCCAAGCACGATGAATAGCCAGGCGTCGTGAACAGGTTGGTCGCAGGTCGGCAAGCTGAGGCTCGACGTCTCGAGGGCACCGGCACACGACAAGCCGGCCACCACTTCTTGGCCGACACAGCCGATCATTACGTCAGTCTCTACCCTGAAAAGAATAAAAATTCGATTAAACTAAATTAAGAAAGGAACAATTTCACTTTAAATTTTTTAAAGTCAACTCACTTTGCCAGAAGGCACCAGTTAAGCCCATGGAGGTCAAACCAGTGGAGCGGCAGCCCATCCGAATCCATCACCTGGGCGCTTCGCGCTCCTCGGGCGCCCCGATTTAGAAACCCTGTACGAGCTCGCACCCATCCGAAGCGACTAGGCCCCGGGTGGCACGAAGCCTTTTTTAGTCGCAGGGCGGAGGAAGTAGCGGCCATTTTCCCTCCAAATTGAGTGACTTCGGTAGCAATGCCCCCCGAAATCGGTCGAGGTCCGAAAAATTCATAAGGGGGGGGGACCCTTATGTTTTTTAGTTAAAAACATTTTTCTGCCTGCGGCGCTGTTTATTACTGTTTTTCAAACAGTTTTTACTTATATAAAGCCTCAAGTGATGCGCGGAAGGCGAAGCAGGACGAGGAATACGTGTATGGGGCGCAGCACACCGATTGGGAATGTAGGTGTCGGGAATTCCTTTGAGGAAACCCTCGAATACCTCCTGCATGCGGGCGTGTGCACCCGATGCTTGCTTAAAGCAAAACACGACCCATCCCAGTGTCGTATTGCCCCCATCGCGAGACTTGCGGCAGGCGCGATTGTTTCCTATTACGCGTCCACAATAAGCAGCTCCATGACCTCCATCAGGTCAGGAACCCTTCGCTCATGGCCCCAGTGACCCGACTGTGGCCAAGCGCAGGGCTGGCCGAGGAGGTGGTCACTCACGATTAGCCCATCTAGCTCCCAGTAATCAGCCCCTTGTTCCAACTCCCTATCGCTTCTTCCAAATCCTTATTAAGCCGAACCCATAGATTTCTCTGTTCAATTTCAATTCAGATCAACTACCTCATACGTATTTTAACTTATCTGTAGTGTAAGAATAAACATCCTAAATCTCAACAAAATTTATTGTCAACACCTGTAGGCAAGTTATGGGCGGATCAGACGACGTCCAAGCACAAATCCAAACAGCATC